AGAAGGAAATGAGAAAGAAAAGGGAAGAGAGAAAAGAAGAGAGGAAATGACAAAGAAAAGGAAGTAGAAAAAAAAAAAGTAAGAAAAAGAAGAAGCAGACAAGAGGCAGAAGAGAAAAGAAAGAAAGGAAGAAAGGAAAAGAAAGAGAGGAAGAAAGGAAAATGAGGAAAAGGAAGAGAAGTGGTGATATATATAAGGTTTATACGGACCGAAAACGGTCCGTATAATCCTTATTGGCGCGCCTCACTAAAAAATTTCAATTTTTTCGAGAAAATTTTTAGCGCATTAACAATATTCGGACCGAAATAGGTCAGAATATAAATAAATTAGCGCACAATCAGAAAGATTCAAATTTACGGTAAAAATTTGGCGCATAAATTAATTACGGACCGATTTCAGTCCATATATGTATTAAGCCTACAAGGGATCACATTAACACATTCGGACCGATTTTGGTCCGAATATGTTGGGAAAAAATCCACAGGGCACATTTTTATTCTTTTCATTTAAGGACATCACCATTTTCTCGTGTCCTCAATCCATTCATGTGAAAACTAATTGCATGTACATCGACCCTATAATCCCTTAGAACCACGAAAGCATTGATTGTCTACCTAAAATTATCTTATAATGGTATAGAATAATATCGTTGCAAAACCACGAATGTATAAGTTTCAGGTTATTAGAGATAATGTTACGTAATGATCTTTCGGAGTCATAAGCAAATAAAATTCATTTTTTTTCTTAAGGTTAACCACTTTGTCTTGCAAACATTCGAAATGTTACGGTTTAAAACGAGAGTAGAACGACTTAAGCACAAAATAACAAAAAAAATAAAAAAGCTACTGTTCAGGGGCATATACGAACCATGTATCAGTCCGAATATAGGCACTCCGAGGGATTTTTAATCTTAAAGCTAAATTAAATTAAATATGAATATATATACGGACCGATTTTAGTCTGAATATATGCAAAAAAATCCAGAAGCTCCCATGCTTTTCATTTTTCAGACCAATTTTGGTCCGAATATACTAGAAAAAATGCAGAAACTTCTCCCAGTGCATATTTTTATTCTTTTCATTTAAGGACATTACCATCTTCTCGTGTCCTAAATCCATTCCTGCGAAAACCAATTGCATGTACATTGACCCTACAGTCCCTTGGAACCACAAAACCATCGATTGTCGACCTGAACTTATCCTACGATGGTACGAAGTAATATCGTTGCAAAACCACGAACGTATAAGTTGAAGGTTATTAGAGATAATGTTACGTAATGCTCTTTCGAAGCCACAAGCAAATAAAATTAATTTTTTTTTGTTAAGGTTAACCACTTTGGCATGCAAACATTCGGAATGTTACGGTTTAAAACGAGAGTAGAATGACTTAAGAACAAAATAACAAAAAAAATAAAAAGCTACTGTTCAGGTGTATATACGGACCGATATCGGTCTGTATAATTTTATACGGACCGGTATCAGTCCGAATATAGGCATTCCAAGATTTTTTAATCCTAAAGCTAAATTAAATTAGGTATGAATATATATACTTAATAAAAATTATACTTATTTGGTAAGTATAAAACTTATAAAA